GCCTACAACTGCTGAAGAGAAGATCGTAAAACACACAGCGCCCCCTTATTTTGTTCAGAACTTTACGCTCTTTAAGATGGCATTATCAAAAACCAATTTCCACAAAGTTTTCAAGGACCTGAAAAATACGTTTTTCAGTTTTTTAGAAATCTTGCCGTCATATTCTATCGATGAAATTCTGGTATATGATGCCTTAAATAGAGCTCTTCATTGCCTATTCAAATCGCTATTTAGATGTCTTCAACAAATCCCTTTTAGCAAAATAATTCATAAAATAAAAAGGCTCTAAAATTTTGTTCGTCACTATACATGTATATAAAAAAAGATACAATTTTGATAACTTACAACCAATAATAATTGTTTCTAAATTACTTAATGAGTTTTTTCTTATTGACAATTCTTCAAAATTTAAATCAACATAATTTTCATGTTTGTACATGTCATGTTCACATTCACAATCATGTATTTCAAAATTCAAATTCAAATATTTTAATGATTTCATTTTTGATGATATTAAATTATTACATAATTCTACAAAGACAAATAAGACAGAAATTGAAATTTTATGTCTTTGAATTTAGCTAATGTATTTTTCTTTCTTTTTAGTTTGCATATTAGATTTAGTCATGCTCTAATCAGTTTTCAATTACTAAGATAGTTTGTTACCTTCTATTTCATAGTCTTCTCCACTGATATTTTCCATTAAACTTAATCGTTCTAATGTTTCATATAATTTTATTTTTTTGTCAAATATTATGTTGCTTAATGTTGCAAGTTTTATATCATTTATTGTTAATGATTTTAGTTTAGAAAATTTATCTTTGAATAAATCATCTTCGAAAAATATATTAAATTGATCTTCATTATCAGCCCGAATTGATAATGGATAGTTTTTACTTGTATTTGTTAACTGATTTAAATTAAAACAAAAAGTTAAAAATTTTCCATTTGGAATTGCACCAAAATCAACATGAATTCTTGCTTCATATAGAATTAATTTGTTGAAACGTTGATTTAAACAGAAAAGTGTTTCATATAATTGATAGAAATCAAAATAATTAAAACACATTAATATCAACTCATTTGGTAAATCTTCAAATTTTGTAGCTGGAGTACTGTTCAAACTGCCGAGAAAGTGAGTTTAAATGAACAGGTGGGTAAGAGAACAATAATTAATGTGACTTACATTTTACTCTCTTGACTGGTCCTTGTTGTTTTCTGACGTTTTCTGTTCGACATCAAAGTTCGATTTTTGTTGCTAGAATATATACTGCATATGAGGACATTGACAGAAAAGTAAAAAT